TTTCGGGGAAACAACTTACGCGACCTCTCGGTCCTAATTGCTCTAGCACAAATCATAAAACTACCTAACATCCAAACAGGAATGTTAGTTTTAATTGCGAATATACGCAAACGAACCAAGGTGTTCGTACAAAGCAGGGTTAAGACAAAACCCTCGCAACACCGCGCAACATCTTCGAGCCCGCAAACGTTCCGAACACAAAACGCGGCATATAAAATAAAAACTAACTTTCGGCACTGCGAGACGTCGCAGACGCCCGGAGATTAGTTTTTCGACATAAATACCTTCCTCGATAAAGTCATTTTCTTGGAAGACCGACGCCCGGAGATTACATACTCTGTGGCTTAGGTCAATGAGTTATTACATAAAAGAAGTAAGTGAAATAGTTAACAAGAAAGAGCCGAGAAAATATTTGAAGATAATTTGGCTTGTGTCCCTCAGCTCAAAGAAAATTATATCAAGAGCGACAGAATAAAGCACATCTCTCCAAGATTTTCTCATACACACGAGAACTCGAGAAAAATAAAGAAGTGGACATAGAGTATGTACGGTCATGCGACAATCCGGCTGACTTGTTTACAAAGGCCCTTCCAACTACAACATTCCGAAAACACGTTTACGGTACTGGGATGCGGCGTTTGTGCGATCTTTGAAAAATGATTCTGTCTATACTTCTTAGAGGGAGATTACGTTAGTGTACTCTTTTTCTCTTTATCATGGTTTTTATCCCATCTAGTTTTTACCATGACTAAGTTTTTAATGAGGCACCACGTAATACAAGATGGATAATCAAGAGGGAATGCTGAAAGATAACAATTCTCCACTTGTCTACACGTGGAAACACTTGTCTGCTCCTTATTAAATATGTCATCTCTTTCAGAATACATATATCTATGTAAGAAGCTATTTGAGTCATAGATGTATTACTCTAAATAGAGAGTACCTCATATGAGATGTAATGGGTGAAGTACACTTAATAAAAAATCATTCATTCTCTGGCTCCGAATGGTGACGGTGAATTTGATATTAAAAGCGCTATAGAATTAATGTGTGGGATGGTGCAACTACGGTTCGTGCGGAATTAAAGTGCGGTACGGTACAACTGCACAAACTAAAAAGTGGTACAGAATATTGTTTGATTGGTGACAATATATATTTGCGGTATTGAATAATAATTTATTAATAAAAAATAATAATATAGAATATGGAATATAGCTAAATAATAAAATATTATATTTACATGATAAATATATTTTAAATAAACATATTTGATTGGTAAAATATTTTACTGTATAAATAAATTAATATTAACATTTGATTTAAAATTAATTATGGTAATAATAGTTTTGACTTATAAATCATAATTTTTCTATTAATTATAGTAACTTAAAGAATAAAAAATATTATATATATATATATATATATATATATATGTATATATATATATAACGTATAACTTTAGCTAGAAAATAAATACAACTAATGCATTTCATTTTTCAAGATAAAGAAAAAGATTTGTTTTCAATAACAAAACAATTATACATAAATATATTTTTATTAAAGCTTTTTTATTAGCAATATACTTTTAAAATGTTGGAGTGCATTAATGAAAAACATTGGGTATGAAGTTTAATATAATGTAAATACATATACATATTGATTTATAAAAGATTAACAACATTTAATTATAATAATATTTTGAATTATTATTAAAAGAATGTGTCTAGTAGAAAATAATTATGTACATATGATATGCACATACATTTAGGCTGTGAATTTTGAAGGCGTTCCGTAGCGGGACGAAGCGGTCTGCAATGATTTGTTACCATTCACATGTATTTGTTTTCTTGGATAATAGAAAAAGTAATTTAATAAACAAAACAAAATGTTACTTTATTGTCTTGGCAAGGCAAAACGCATAGTATGGTCAATATGTCTGTAGAAGGTGTGGTTCGCTATATTGTAGATGGTTTAAATATCTTTCATTTTTCATTTTATTTTAAAAATGTTCATAAAACCAATTTTCTCTATACTCTCTTGTTTTATGTATCATTCTATTTCTAAGAAAACTATATTAACTTTACAAAATATGAATGCTAAGGCGTATATTTTTCTGTCATTAACATTAGACTTGCACATTTTACTCAAAGCCGTAGACTGAACCGCAACCGACATGAAACTCATGTTCAGTTTAAATAATCTATTTTATTATTTTAAAATTAAATGTAATTAATATTTTGTACTTATTCGATTTTTGGTTAGGTTTCAATTTTTTGGTTCTAAAGATATATCCACAATTATAACTGATATGATCCAAACCCAAAACAAATCTCATTTTTCGGTTCGGTTTGATTTAGTTTCAGATAAATGTGCTAATGACTAATTACAGTTTTGAAAATTTAAATAAAATATTTTAAATGAGAAGTATGTGGATATGATTTGTAAAGTTTTTCAGTTTATAAGTAGCATGGTTTTTAAATTATACTAGTATAACTGGTATTTTAATTTTATAATGTTTTTATAAATATTAGTTTATTTTTTAGTTTATTTTTTTAAAGACAACTACCGTAATTGTAATTTTAAACATATATAATTGCCTATCAGGAATGGCATATTAAATTTCATATTTGAGATATATAAAATACTTTATAATTTTAAAAATTGCCTATATTTATAATATCGCAAATATGTTATGAGGAAATTAGTAAAATAAATGTGTTAATGATTGTAATTTATCTGTACTTTCTAAACATATGTAAAACATATTTATATATCAAATAAAATATTATTTTATATTTTCTACATTATTTACTTTATCAAATAGAAATATGTTAATGATTGTAATTTATCTTTGTTTTTCTTATTTAAACCGCAGTCAAACCGCTCCGCACTATCAAATATGCTTGTCCTGCACCGTTCAAACCGCTGTAACCATTCAGATGCTTATAAACGTGTCTGGGGATATATTTCTTCGCGTCTAGAAAGTCAAAGTTATGTGGTATATTATTTTACCATTATATTTTCTTTTTATTATCGACAAGTATAAGTATTGTGTGTGTGCGTTTTTAAAAAAAACGCATGTATTTGAATGCTTGTGCAGATTGAAGTCTGTAATGACTTTTATTTGTTATGGGAATTTGTACGCAGAATTGTAGTAAACTTTTATAAAAACGCGAAAGAAAAAGTAAAAGTTATGATTGGTGATCAAGTTGCGGTTGTATCAAAACCGCTATGAAAACTGTAAATGATGGGTATGAATGGAAACAATGTTTTTATAGATATGGGACTGTATTCTGGTGGACCCTACAATATGTTAGCAATCAATAACATTAGTTAGTGTATTTTTCAATTACGTCTTTTTCAAAAACGTCTTTAGTCACCAATCAGAAATAAAGTTTTGTTAACTACGTTATTCTAAAACCGAAGATGAATAGTATTTGCGTTTTTAAAAACTGCCTAATTAGTCATGGACCACACTTATTTATCCACACACCAATAATACAGCGGTTTTCAATTCCGCAAACCGCACGAAGGATTAATGTTTTCAATTTATTATTAATAAGAAACAAAAAACTATATCACTTTTTAATAAATAACTCTATAGTATATTGGGAAAAAAGAAAAAAACCCTATAGTATACTAATGATTTTTAATTTAATTTGTTAATAATTTGATTTCAAACATATATTTTTCAAATGGCAGTTCTCTCAAATAGCCATTTTTAAGTTTTTGTCACAAAATAGTTTTAAAAAAATAAAATGACTAAAATAGTCCATTTTTATTTTGAAATTTTAATATTTATTTTTAAAAATTTGAAATCCTAAACCTAAACCCCACCCCGTAATTCTAAACTCTAAGTCTAGATTAGTTAACTGAAGAGTATAAATGCATATTTACCCTTTAATAAAAACTTATTTTGGTCATTTTTCTTTTTGATCTCTATTTTTGTGAAAATAAACTAAAAAGACTATCAAAGGAAATTTCTTATTTTAAAAATAACAACCTTTCAAATATCGTAATTAAGATTATATTAATTTGAATTTTTATCTCAAAATAATTATAGTAGTTAAGATTATATTAATAAATAATATACAGAAGTTCAAATTTTTCTTTCAAATAAATATGAAGTTGAAAATTATATAAAAATATATAATGACATGTCACTAACAAATAAGTTTAATTTTAATTGTATTATAGTTATAGACATTACTATTTATCAAAATTGCACTATACTTCTATCAAAATCGCATTATATTTCTATCAAAACCGCAATATTTTTCTAGCAAAACCGCACTTCTCCCACATAACATACGAACCACAATTGTACCGTACCACACTATTTTTTAGCAAAACTGCACATATTCCACATAACACCAAAACCATAGTTGAACCATACTGTATTCTATTTCTGCACCGCTTATATTATCAAATCCGCGATCACCATTCAGAAACGATATGTTACAAATCACTGCCTCTCTCTCGTTGGTTTCTACATACATATATAATTAAGGCTTCACCGTATATTATTCAACAAATCGTTAACACAAACGTTTTCTTCTGTTATGAGATTTTACTTGGTAGGCCCACCCCATTTTTAAATGGGCCGAGTTGAAATCATTTCATTTCATGGTTTTAGGGTTTTTCTTAGTACACTATATAAACAAACCAAAAACTTAATCCTCGCCGGAAGAGGTAGAGAGAGAGAGAAGCCATGGTTAAGTTTCTGAAGCAGAACAAAGCTGTGATCCTCCTTCAAGGTCGCTACGCCGGTAAGAAGGCTGTGATCATCCGTTCCTTCGACGACGGTAACCGCGAGCGTCCTTACGGACACTGCCTCGTCGCCGGACTCAAGAAGTATCCAAGCAAAGTCATCCGCAAGGACTCAGCCAAGAAGACGGCGAAGAAATCGAGAGTCAAGTGTTTCATCAAGGTCGTGAACTACCAGCATCTGATGCCTACTCGTTACACATTGGATGTAGATCTGAAGGAAGTTGCGACTCTCGAGGCTCTGTCTTCGAAGGACAAGAAGGTTGCTGCTCTTAAGGAGGCTAAGGCGAAGCTCGAGGAGAGGTTCAAGACTGGTAAGAACAGGTGGTTCTTTACCAAGCTCAGGTTCTGAGAACTGAGTTTCTTTACAGTCTACTTTTGTAGTTCTAGAAATGAATGAGGATCATGTTTTGGATGGTGTAAGACTTTTGGTTTGAAATTTATTCTGGGTTTTGTCTTTTTTTCTTGTCAGTTATAATCTTTTGTGTGGAATTAGCTGCAAGTGACTGATTTGAAATATGTTTAATTTTCATTATTCACACTGCTTTTTGTTGGTTAAGTTCCGAATGTTCTGTGAATCCAATTCCTTGTGGGTCGGGCATGAAATGAAAATAAAGTTAGGGAGATGGCCAAGATGCTTGTGCTGTTGTTGAATTGTGCTAGACATTTGGAGAAACATTTTCATTTTCATTTTGCTTCCGTTCTTTAACGTTTCAGTGGAATTTAATTTTCGTGGGAGTATTTCAGTGGAATTTAATTTAACGTCTACTTTCTAGAATGAATGTAGATCATGTTTCTGATGGTTCTTGATTTCTACTTTTTAGTTGGGCTTATTTTGTATATTGTTGCTTTAGTTTATATATCGTCACTAGTTTATTAGCAACTAATAAGAGTTCCAGTTTAGCAATGATGGATTGATTGTTCTTGAAATGTGTTTCTACAAAATATGTTTTCTTCATGATCATCAGTTACTATGAGTCAAGGTATTGGCTTTTGTTATTTAGAATTAGTGCTGCATATTATGAGCATTACTAAAGTATTGTCATTTTAGTCCGATTATATAAAACTTTTCACTAGCTATTTCTTGATTTATTATAAGAGATATAAGTTATAACTTGTCACTCGCGAATTCTTGACAATGATGGATTGATTGTTCTAGAAATGGATTTCCTTGGATTCGTTTTCTTTCATGATCATTTAGTATGAAAATGTATAGGCTTTGTTACCATTTACAAAGAATTTAGTATAAGTTGTCATTTGACACTCTCAATTATTTATTGATCTATTAGATGTCGAAGTTAACCAACAACTGCACTACAATACATATATTCAAATCTCTCTCTTTCAAATTGCTAAGAAGAAAACTAGAGTTTTTGTGGCCTTCTGGGTAATTGCGCGTATTTAATCTGCCTTTATAATCTTTATGCCAACTAGGGGTGGGCACAAGGCGGTTACTTGCTATTTTATCGATATTTGATACTTAACTTGCCTTATTCGAGTAATGAAAATTTTGGTTTGTACTTGCCTTGTTAAAAACGAATACTTGTTATTCCGATTACTTGCTGAAAAATGAATTACTTGCAAATTACTTGCCTTGATTTATTACTTGGTATTTGCAAATACTTGTGAGTTATCTGTGAGTAATTGTGAATTACATATATAATTACGAGTATTTATAGAAATATTTTCCGAATAATTATTTATTAAAAAATGCACATAAAATTTTATTTTGTTTATTCTATTTAAAAACATAAGAAATGATAATAAACAAAATATTTGTACATGTTATAAAAAAGAAGAACCAAGAAAAAAACATATATCTCTGTATAGGAATATTATTTACTTCTCATAATAACAAAACATCTTATTTGAGCAAGTAACGAGTAATATCAAGGCGAATAATTAATTTTTTTTCATACTTGTTACTTGCCTTGTATTTGCAAGTATCTAATTTCTAATATTTGATATCCGACTTGATAACAACGAGTACTTGAAAAACCGAAGCAAGTACGGGGCGAGTAACGAATATAAGACGAGTAACGGGTATTTGTGCCCAGCCCTAATGCCAACCTCTTTTGCTCAGGCAGGAGAATTTAAAAGTGATGAGTAAAGTAATATCCTGAAACTAAAAGTTAAATTAAATCTGCGACAAATATTTTTCTTTTCATATAGAATTTGTTTATTATAGAGCTTCTAGAAGGAACCTTAAAATCAAAACCGGAAACCAAAGCCCGAGAGATATACGGAAGACAAGTCTGAAAGTTTTGCTCGAAATTAAAACTGGCATAAGTTAAGAAAAATACAAAACGCTACAATGCAACACAACAAAAATTGAGAATAACCAACGAACCACTATCGAGAAACATCCAAGAAAACACGAGGAGAACGTTATATCATAAGTTAATGTCAAAAGATCAAATTAGTCATTGGAAAGACGATATGTACATCACACCCAAAAATAAATGAGTCGTTTAGTATTGTGACACAATATGACTTTATCTTTCATCTAGAGACACATACACAAGTTGGAACACTTTTTTTTTGATAGCTTCTGTGTGTAATGTCATTGATATCCTTTGGGTGAGTTTGGGAAAAAAAAGAAACCGTTCAAATTGATATTTATTTCCTAAAAACACTAATTTTTTAAACCTATGAATATACAAGGTCACCATTTAATATGAAATTGAAACTTAAAATCCATTTACAAAATAAACAAATATAATCTATCCACAAGAACCTTATTCTGTACTACTGAACTTAAAATCCATCCAGAAAACGAATAAACATAAAATCAATCAAGCCATAATGTACCATACAATCAAACGAACGAACAACCCCCAGCCATACTCCCCCCCCCCCTCCAGGCTTCACCCATCTACAACCCCCTCCACGCCTCACCCATCCACAACCCCTTCCACGCTTCACCCATCCACAATTGTTTTTGTACACAAGCGGGAACTGAACACAAGGAACAAACCCAAACATATATAGGGACTGAAATAACGAACAAATCAGGAACTGGAATACATTAACAAAAGTCTGAGACAAACCATAACTCTCCTCCAATCAAAAAACGACGAGAGATAAACACCACAACCTGCCGTCATCATCTTCTACACCACGTACTCAGACTTGCTTGCCGTCTTCCTCTCCACCTGATAATAGTAAAATCAAATAAGTTGCGTCTCCTTTGGATTCATGGTTTTCTAAAAATCAATGAAGATAAAGAAAAGGAGGCTAACAATTATGGTTTGAGTAAAGGAAAGTGAAGAATCTTTGAAAAGTAGATATGGAATCGGAAATAAAGATAGAAGAGAGAGAGAGAGAGAATAAAGAGACATATTTGTATTTTAATTGTTTTTATTTTTGTCTGATTGTGTGGACATGTTTCGTTGAGATTAGTTAATAAAAGTTAGAAATGTATATTTGTGATTTAGTTGAGGGTAGAAAAGACAAATTGTATAGAGAAAGTGTGTGACATGTGGAAAGTGTTTTAAAGTGTAATTGTAAAGTGAGAATGTGTCTTGTAGAGTAAATTTTTCAAAATAAATAGGCAACCATTGTCACTTTACCAAACTATATGAAAGAAGAACAAAACAAAACACGTTTGTTCTTGTTTTGCATCTTAACAACAATATCCTCGTCTCTACTTAATGAAAAAGCCAAAGCTGTATTAACTTCAGTTGTCCACCGTTGATTACTTAATAGTATCTTTCTTTAAAGTCATTCTTTACCAAAGTTTGCATGGTCGTAAGGAAATAATGTGTTAAACCATTAAAGTTAATACTGCTTTTTGTAAAATAGCAAACAAACCTATTGTCTAAACTTTCACCAACCCCTGCAGGACGTGTTCATACTACTAAATGAACAATGCATGTTAAGTGTGTATTTATAGGGATTAAGGTTTACAGAAGGATATCACCACTTACTACAAAACACACACACACATGTTGGATAAGCTTGAAGTTAGCTTGAGAAACAAGCTACCTAATTCTATTGAATTATAGAATAGAAAAATATCTAGCTATGTTTACCTAATGAGTTTAGGAAGTTTACGAGGTTATATAAGGAGATGCAAGAGTGTTTCATAACTTATGAGTAGTGAGTTTTGTGAGTTTGAGAGATTAATAAGAAGAGTTATTATTTTGTGTTTGGGTCCGTGTGTTCTTGATATCTGATTTCAATATTTGAGTATCAGAGCTTCATAAAAAATGGGGGATATATTCGCAGCTACCCGAAGAACTAAAGAAGGTGGAGGGACGTCTTCAATCCAGTGTACCATGCTTAATGCAATACCGTCTGGGCCATAAGGATGAAGATAGCTCTTAAAGTTCACAAGGCCCGGGAGGCCGTTGAGACTGAGGCAGAAAACACCGAGAAGAATGACATGGAAACAGCTCTACTGATCCAGTCAATTCTAGAGAGTCTTGTCTTGCAGGTAAGAGAACTCGGAACAGCAAAACAAGTGTGGGGGATGCGATCAAAACACGTCATGTAGGAGCAGAACGTGTAAAAGAAGCAAGAGTTCAAACTCTAATGACTGATTTTGATCGTCCAAAGATGAAAGAAACATAGAATATATATGACTTTGGGGGGGGGGGAGTTATCAGAGCTAGCATCGAAGTCAGCTTCCCTAGGAGCACCCATTGAAGAATCAAAACAGGTTAAGAAATTTTTAAGTCTTCCTCGTTAGAAGTTCACACACATCGTTGCCTCTCTCGAGCAAGTACTCGATCTTAACACAACAAGTTATGAAGACATTCTTGGACGATTGAAATCATATGAGGAACGTATCAATGAAGAAGATCAAGACGAGGATGATAAAGGGAAGCTCATGTATGCAAATACTATTACTAGTATATCCTTTCCAACTTCTGATGTGGGACACTTTGTGTCTAATACGCCCATCGAGATGATGGTTCTCTGATCATTTAGCTCGGAATGTTTGGAAACCCATCTAGTTTAACATGGTATCAGAAGCCATGATCCACACAGTCGAACCCGGTCTTCATCGATCTGGCCCAAAGATGGCCCATCGATCCTTGCCCGAACATTCCGAGATTTACGCTCAAAGAACCATCATCTGGAAGGGCGTATTAGGGAAAAAGGTCTCACATCGATAATTGAAAATGATCTTAAACAATATATACGATAGATGAGTCACTTCACTTATCACCAATTGATTTTAGGTTGGAAATCCATCTAGCTTAACACATCAGAGCAGAAAAACTCACGCAAACATCTGCGCAAAACCAGTGAAGACGCAACTCAGACCCAATAAAACAAAGGTTTGCATAACCCAATAATACACAGCTTCTGAGAGACAATCATGGGAGAACATAATGGGTTTCAAACTAGAGAGAGTTGCTTGGTACATTGATCAAGAAGAGAATACTGTCGTATTGGTGGTGTATATCCATATTCATTGTTTTCTGCTATTTATGTCAGCCATCCTTTTTGTTCAGGATTCTGTGGATTCCTTATATGGTTTGGTAAGTAGTTTTGGTGTTTGGAGTATATTTTGTGTGAAACAGTTCATTTTTTGT